GATGTGGAGGTGGATTCAGTCTAGGTACTCGTGGACTCGGTCGAGGTACTGGTTGACTCGGTCGATGTGGAGGTGGATTCAGTCGAGGTACTTGTGGACTCGGTCGAGGTACTCGTGGACTCGGTCGAGGTGGAGGTGGATTCAGTCGAGGTACTCGTGGACTCGGTCGAGGTATCTTGTTGACTCGGTCGATGTGGAGGTGGATTCAGTCAATGTACTCGCGGACTCGGTCGAGGTACTGGTGGACTCGGTCGATGTGGAGGTGGATTCAGTCGAGGTACTCGTGGACTCGGTCGAGGTACTCGTTGACTCGGTCGATGTGGAGGTGGATTCAGTCGAGGTACTCGTGGACTCGGTCGAGGTGGAGGTGGATTCAGTCGATGTACTGGTGGACTCGGTCGAGGTGGAGGTGGATTCAGTCTTTGTTCTCGTGGACTCGGTCGAGGTACTGGTGGACTCGGTCGATGTGGAGGTGGATTCAGTCGAGGTACTCGTGGACTCGGTCGAGGTGGAGGTGGATTCAGTCGAGGTACTCGTGGACTCGGTCGAGGTACTCGTCGACTCGGTCGAGGTGGAGGTGGATTCAGTCGAGGTACTTGTGGACTCGGTCGAGGTGGAGGTGGATTCAGTCGAGGTACTCGTGGACTCGGTCGAGGTGGAGGTGGATTCAGTCGATGTACTGGTGGACTCGGTCGAGGTACTTGTGGACTCGGTCGAGGTGGAGGTGGATTCAGTCGAGGTGCTCGTTGATTCGGTCGAGGTACTTGTGGACTCGGTCGAGGTGGAGGTGGATTCAGTCGAGGTACTCGTGGACTCGGTCGAGGTGGAGGAGGATTCAGTTGAGGTACTCGTTGACTCGGTCGAGGTGGAGGTGGATTCAGTCGAAGTACTCGTGGACTCGGTCGATGTGGAGGTGGATTCAGTCGAGGTACTCGTGGACTCGGTCGAGGTACTTGTGGACTCGGTCGAGGTGGAGGTGGATTCAGTCGATGTACTCGTGGACTCGGTCGAGGTGGAGGTGGATTCAGTCGAGGTACTCGTGGACTCGGTCGAGGTGGAGGTGGATTCAGTCGAGGTACTCGTGGACTCGGTCGAGGTGGAGGTGGATTCAGTCGAGGTACTCGTGGACTCGGTCGAGGTGGAGGTGGATTCAGTCGAGGTACTCGTGGACTCGGTCGAGGTACTTGTGGACTCGGTCGAGGTGGAGGTGGATTCAGTCGATGTACTCGTGGACTCGGTCGAGGTGGAGGTGGATTCAGTCGAGGTACTCGTGGACTCGGTCGAGGTGGAGGTGGATTCAGTCGAGGTACTCGTAGACTCGGTCGAGGTGGAGGTGGATTCAGTCGAGGTACTCGTTGACTCGGTCGAGGTAGAGGTGGATTCAGTCGAGGTACTCGTGGACTCAGTCGAGGTACTAGTGGACTCGGTCGAAGTACTTGTTGACGTTGGTGTTGATGTTGATGTGGTTTCGGTGGAAGTTGAAGTTGTTGTTGTAACCGGAATGTCCGTGAGAACTAAAAAATGCGATTTGATTACTGATGTGTTGTTTTGAATCTACCATTGCAGTTTAATGTGTTGCCGTCAATAGCTTCAATAGCAGTCGGAGCAGCCCATCCAAATGCAAAACATTTCAGTTGAGCTTCAAGGATATTGTAGTCATCTAAACCTTCTCCCAACTAGAAAAGAGAATATAATTCAATTTGTTTTGAATGATAAGACGATGTACTTACTGTAATTACTTCTCCATTCCCGTCAGCATAATCCAGAGTGGCCATATCACCTCCAACGCATGTCAGATCTGCAATTGGGCATCCGGAGGCGTCGGTGCTGTATTCGATGTAAAAGTTTTCAGTCGCGATCAAGCCATCATAAGCAGGCGTCGTAGCCTTTGTGAGTGGCGGACAACTCGCAGCACATGCTTGCCTCTGAAGAACAAAACTCAATTTTCAGAGAGAAAATTTTAAAAATTTCTCACCTTGACACGTTGAGAGATTTTGTAGTTCTGTTCATAATATGTGGGAAGTTCTGTTGTCGAAACGTTCTTCACTGGCCGATTAGTGACTCTCTGAAATGCAAAAATCAGACTAACACGATTTCAGAAAAAAGGAATTACTTGTCTGATAGAAGAGATATCCCGGAAAATCCGATAATTTGGATCTGACAGGACATCAGCATTAATGACACCAAATATAATCGATGCAATCAATATGCATAATGCTTTTGGAAGCATTCTGGGGGTACCCTATAAAATTAGATGGTGTCAAAGGTACGAAAACCGAAAATTTGAAATATTATTCAAAAGAAAAATAATGGAAAAATTAAATAGCTGTAAAATGAATCCGAACCGAGTTCAATTATAAGAGTGGAATGGTCAAACGACAGGAAACTCTTGTCGATTTAATATGACAAGCTGCCAACATTTTTTTCTACATCCAGCTAAACTAACAACCTCGATTTGCAGTAAAACACGGGACATCCTCTGATTTCAATGCCTGACGACGAGATTTTGCAGCGCCACCCATCCATTATTTGTTGGTTTTGTGCTGATTCTCGAACTCGATCCGTCGCTTTTTTGCAGACAACCATCTGCGAGGCCACTTCCGTTCACTTTTGCGCAAAGAATAAGTCTAAATAAATAGAAGCGGTTGATTTGCAGTTGTGTTGATTCGAGCTCAGATTGTTTCGATCTTAATTCACATCGAGACCAGTTTTTATTGTTTTTACTTTTTTTTTCATAATATATAATCAATTTATCATAAAAAAAGTCTAGATTAACTGAAAGTTTTAGACTAGATAACGTAATACAAAACAGAATAGAATGGTGTAGACGACAACTGCCAGAATCATGAAGACACCCGCGGCAATGAAGGGAACGAGAGCTGAAAAATCAAACGACATTTTTTTAAGTTTCTAAAAGAAAACTCACAATGTTCATTAAGAAATCGGCATTTTGGGTTGCTACACAGGTATGGTACAGGCTCGTTTTGAGGTTGTGCCTGCTGAAATATCATATAATTTTTGTAGAAAAACAATTATATGGTTTTTATTTGAAGAAATTGCGCGTGGATTTCTCAAAAGTGAAATATCAATTCCGAGAATTTAAAATCTGTAATATCATGTATTTCATGACTGTTTAACTAGATCCTTGAGATTTATGTAAGATTTCATCGAAAGAAAAACTTTTGAATCAGTAATTGGATTAAAAAGTGTTCACGTTTATAAATTCATTGTATTTCCGTTTTCTTATCTCAAAATGAGCTTTTTAAAGGAGGCCAGACATGAAAATTCTCAAAATTTTATTTTTTATATATGACACAGTACAGTCAGAAAATAACAATGGACACAAAACCATAACTCCTTGTTACTGTACAAGCGAGGCCGCGACCGTTCTTCCAAGCGGCGCCCACTCCTCGTTTCATAATCGTTTTAGAGGTAGAGGCCGACAAACGCTGTGTAGTGTGAAGGTGAGCGTGCTTGTCTATCAGTCGTGTATCGCGGGTTCGACTCCTGTATGTGCGTTTTCGTTTTTTTTTGTTTTCATGCGGCGACATCCTAGAATGGACGAATAACGAGAAAAAGTCGGGAATAAGTGCCAAACAGTAAAGAAATCTAGTGTATTCTAAAAAAAATAAATGCTCGTCAAGTAGCGCGCATTGGTCGCAATCGCACGATTTTCCGTCAGAATACATGATCTCGCCCCGAGAAAACCCCGTAGTCTTTCGTGTCTGGCCTCCTTTAAAATCAATTCCTGATTGTCATCGGATATAATGCGAAGGTGAAAAGGCCAAACAATAAATTATTATACATAGAGTATACACTGTAGGCTATTGGCTTATTGTTTTTAATCGGGACTTTCAAGAAAACCGCCAAAAATTCTCCTCATTCAACGTTCAAAACAACAAGGACTCAATAATTTGAAATGTGAACTACAGTAACGGCCATACACATATGAAAAAAACATGTTTTTCAGTTGATTTTGATCATTTTCAGGTTTATGGATCTCGGCTGTCAAGTGTCGGATCATTTTGAAAATTTTAGAGGTTATGACACAGATCTAGATTAAAAATTTTTCATGAATGTTTTCTTGCTTTTTCAATTGTTAAAAATTCCTAGTTTTCAGCTATTTTCCGATTTTGAAGGACACTCCTTTTCCCTTTTATTTTTGAACTGAGACAGTGAAAAAAGCAGGTGTCTTTCAGAAATCGGCAAGGAGCTGAAAAGTTAGAAACTTTCAGAAAATACAGTGAATGCAACGTTTATAATCACATATTTTCCTATATTAATGGCACCGTACGTAATCACATATTTCAATCAACTTTTACTCTTTCATGTCATTGGTGATCACTTTACCGTATTTTCTCTAATAGGAGCACATGGGCTTCTATTTTTTAATTTCACGCTCAGGGTGGGCTTCTATTAGAGGTGGGCTTTAATTAGAGGGTGGGCTTCTATTTTTCGATGATCAATTTTCGAAAAAAATTTTGTTCAAAAAATCAGAAATTTGACAATTCGGAAATTAAGAATTCTGAATTTCGGTGCTTTTTTTTCGAATTCGAAGTTTTCATTCTGCAATTTTAAACTCCGAAATCCCGAATTTATGAAGTTCTGAGATTCCAGAATCTCAAAATTCAAAATTCAATAATTCTGTAGATCAGAAATTGAGAAATTTTCGAGTTCTAAAATCACAGTTCCGAAACTTCTAGAATTTTTAACTGCCGTATTTTCTTTTATAGAAGCTCATGGGTTTCTATTAGAGGGTGGGCTTCTATTAGAGGTGGACTTCAAATAGAGGTGTGCTTCTATTAGAGGAAATACGGTAATCCTGAAAGAATAAACAAAAAAAAGACAAAAGAAATAGAACGCGTTTCACATTATTTGGGGTTTTCGCCTCTAAATTCCACGTTCATTAATTCTTGATCCATATCTTGTTAAAAATTTTGAAGTGAATGTATTGCTTTCAATTTTTAAATATTTTCTTTTTCAGGGTTTTCTAATTTTGTCACTATAACCATAGTTCATGTAAGTACACTTTGAGACGAGATCTCATTACCAACAAACAAAGTGTTTTCGATATTATGATAAACATTCTGTCAGCTGGACTTTTTTATATCTTTCACCGAAATCGAGGTAGCTGCGCCCGAAGTTGACGGGTTAGGTTGGCTTCTTAGAGGTAATACGGTACATTCAAAATTTTTAGTTGCTTCTCTGAATGTTTCTAGACAACAAAAGCAAAATTTCACAACTAGTTGTTGATTCTGGTACGGAATAAAAAAACTATTATTTTCTTCACAAATTCAAAACACAAACCGGTGTCAAGCTATTGTGAATAACTGGTCCTGGTTGATACACTTGTCTCTTCTCACCACCTCTCTCTGCTCGAATAACAGTCTCATTTGAAGAAGTCGTTATTGTCTCGTTGGTAGTCCGATTATCCAGAATAGATGCATAAGATTCCAGAAAAAGTGCAACAAAAACCACAAGAATTAAGGAAAATCGTAGCATTTTGGTATTCGTATATGGCAATGGTAAAATGCGTTGTCAGAAGACACTGCGTTTCTGTTATGTTTTCAGATGATTCATGTTGTATATAGTTATCTATAGTAGTCGTTTAGCATGCATTTTCTGATCTGAGATGCTATAGAATGTTTTTAAAATAGGCCAATGTACGCAGTAGAGAATAAAATAAAACCTAAAAATTCTTTATTACTCATATAAATATGTCATAGAAAGTGGATAAATCGGGATGCATGATGATACGGCGCCAAAAATGAATTATCGAACATCGTAAGATTGTAGCTTCTGTTTTTTCGTGACAAGGAATTTTGGTAAACCCGATTACATCGCTAGAAAATGGTTGTGTTGATATTGGAATACCGCGTGGACTGTTTTTAACGCCGGGACACTGAAGCTTGCGCCTTCTCTGCTTTTTCTAATTTCATCTCTTCGATTCGTTTTCGCACGTTTTCCGCAGCTTCCGGTTCGTTCATAGATCTGGAATTCAAGGTTTTGGATACTGAAAACAATTTCTAATCACTCACAAGTAATACTGATACCATTGCTCTGAGTAATCTCGTTCTCCTTCCCCCTCTTCACTCTCTGAATTGTTCTCTTTGGCTTCTTTTTTAGCACCATCCTCCTTGTTTTCCGTGGATCCACTTCCATTCGTAGCTTTAGCTGGCTCCTTAGCTTTAGCTGGCGATTTGGATGAGCCCCCCTCTTTTGGAGTCGTAGACGCTGTAGCAGCCGGTTTTGGGGTATTCCGAGCTTTTGGAAGATGTTGTGGTGATGCCTGCGGCTTCTGTGGACTTGGTTGTGGCTGATAGGAGTTATTTTGCTGGCGAGGAGAGTTCCGCATTTGATTTTGCATTTGTTGAAGAGGTGCTTGTTGGTACGGCGGCCCTTGGTTCGGATAAATCGGCTGGCCCTGCTGGTTTTGTTGCTGCTGTTGCATCATCCGGAACCAATTCGGGTTTTGTTGACCTTGCATTGGCGGATGCATTACAGGGAAGTTCTGATTTTGCTGTGGAAACATTGCCATTTGTTGTTGTTGGATCTGTTGAAACTTCTGCTGTTGGAATTGTCTTTGCTGTTGGAGCTGCTGCTGTTGGTACTGGATTTGTTGGTGTTGTTGAAATTGCTGCTGTTGGATTTGTTGCTGTTGTTGGTGGTGTAGTTGGTTTTGGAGTATTTGGGTTTGGGGATGCTGTGGATGTTGGTTTTGAATTATGGGGGCACCTGGAAGCAGAATGATTTGTTTAGGAACATACTGTGCGTGTCAATAAGATATACAAAAATGTGTTTTAGTTGATTTTGACCATTTTCAGAGGTCTAGAGCTCGCCTGTCAGAGGTCCGCTCACTTTGACAATTCAGGTGGTTATAAATCAAAACAAGATATAAAATTTTGCATTTAAAGGATTTTTTAAAATTGCTTAGTTTTCCAGCTTTTTGTCATATTCTAAAGGACACCTCATTTTTTTTGTTTTAGTATTGAAAACGAGAAAAAAACAGGTATTCTTCAAAAATCGACAAATAGCTGAAAAACTAGATTTGTTTCAGAAAATTCTGTGACTTAAAAATTACCAATCTAAGTCTGTTTTACACCTTCCAAAGTTTTCATACTTGCGAGCCGTGCCTTTGCCGGGCCTTCGCGGGCCTTCTCATAGTTTGCATCAAGATTTTCAGACTACCCAAATCAGATATGATAGAACTCGACAAGTAATACAAAACGATATCATTTGGAAAACTATGTCTTAGCTATAAATAAAGTTGTAAGTCATAAAGTGGCCGTGCCTATTGGCGCCGGGCCGGGAATCTTTTTTTGTCCTTCATCTTTGTTCACAGACAAGACACAATTCTACAAATATTAGCATTTTGTAGTTCTCGTCGAGGTCTATCAAATCTGCTTCGGTTAGTCTGGAAATAATGATTCTCAAAGAAACATTGGCACGGCCCGCGAAGACCCGACAAAGGCCCGGTCGCAAGTGTGAAGTTTTTCGAAGTGATCGGAAACCTGACAGTCGAGCTCTAGACCCCTCAAAATAGTGAGAAAGGCCAAAAACCAACTGAAAAACACGTTTTTCGTATCTTATAGCATTAGAAACTTCACCCACCTGCCCACATTTGCACATTTGTCAACGTATTCTGTTGTTGAGGACTACGAGCTTGCATCTGATGTCTAGCTTGCATGTGAGCCTGTATTTGAGCTTGCATTTGTGCCTGGACTTGTGGCCGCACCTGGAGCTGTTGCTGCTGCGTTGGATGCACTGGATTCATCAGAGAAGGAATTTGCATTGGATTTGCATTTGGTCGATGCTTCGGCACAAATGGAGTGTTTGGTGGAATATCTCCAACTTTTGTGTAGATTAAATGCTTGGCATGCTCAATTTGTAGGTCGGTTCCACGAAGAACAAAGGTTTTGAAATGTGCATCCATTTTTGTCTCACGTGCGAGCTCACAACGAGCGCCACTGTCTGCATTGATCTGTTTTATAACATCGCCTCCTTTCCCGATCACCAATCCACATTTGGCGGCAGGCACATCCATGTAGTAAACGTTGTGAACATAATAATCGGGAGAATTGCACGAGGTGATGATGGTTCGAATTACATCAGCTGCCAGGTAGACTTTATCCGGAGAGCCAACAATTGTTATCAGTCTTTCCATCACTTTTGGATCTTCCTCAGGCAGTACATGGATTGATGTGCATGTTTGATCTGATAGCCTCTTGATATTCATACCTTGTGGTCCCATAATGGCTCCAACTGAACTACGCGGAACTTTCACATGCAAAGATTTATTTTCATAGTAGGTTTCTTGAGGTGGCGCAGAAGGAGCTTCGTGTTTCGGAGGTGGTGGTCCCTCATTTTTAGCTAGAACCTCGGCTACTAATCTCTGCGCATACTCAACTGATTGTTGGTCACCAGTGATTCTCAGAGGCTTTGTGGTGGTTGGCATACTGTTCTCTTGAATCAGTTGGATTTGACAGTTGGACCAGGACTGAAATATCAATGACGTTTTAGAGACTTTTTTGTTCAAATCTCACCCTAAGTTTTTGCATTGTATCTCCTCCTCTTCCAATAACCGCACCACACTTATGAGCTGGAATCGGGATTTCCACGGTCACGGTTTTCACTGTCTCTCCTTCTTGACGTTGTGCTCCACTGTGTGGAGCCGGAGGCGAATGATGAATTCGATTGAGCACCTGGGAGATACACTCTCTGGCCGCATCAATGTTCTCTGGCAATCCGTGAATCTCTACATTCCGGTAACCAATCGGTGATGGCTCTGTGGAAACTTGCAGTCGGCATCCCGTCTTCTCGTTGATTGCATGCACCTCTGCTCCGCCTTTTCCGATAACTATAAAAATAGTTTGGTTAGAATTCCTAATGTTTCAAATTAATAAGCACATAACTCGGAGGGTGCAACGATTGGGAGGCGCCAAAATTATTGCAACAAAAGTTTAGTGCGAGCTGGTGGTCACTGTAGAATTTTTAGAGCAATTATTTTGTACGTATTATTTTCAGCATGTCTTGATTACCTTATTCCCAGATTTTCAAGTCTTTAGGTTGACTTTTACACGAATGGTGACTAGTAATATACACCTGTGCACCCTCATCGAGGTGGGCAAGAGAGGGTTGTGCCTAAGGAGCATCGGAAAAGCTCTCGGAATCGAACGAACAACCAAGTGGACACATCAAATGTTTCTAACAGTTGAATACGATCAAGAACTGTCTAAAAACGTCAGATCTCAAAATTCTATTACCCTGGTGAGAAACAAGGTTGTCAGAGAATGAGTTTGCGAAATTCGCACCGAACAATGAAAAACTGAGCCTGGAGCTCCAAATGAGCAATAAGTCACTCAGTACAATCGTCAAAAGAGAGCACGGGCTGACCCCATTTCATGTTCAAAAGACAAGAACTCGGTCGGGAAATAACAATCTGGTACGCATCCAGAAGTGAAAATCGACATTTGCTGGCACGCACCAAAAATTAACACAAGAGGATGATGTTCGAAGACGAGAAACACTGGCATAGAAAGCCGAACCTTTATCAGAAAACCATCGAGTTTTTTGCCCGAGATCTGAGCTAGCTAATAATCACGGTAGGATGGCCAACCGAGCTTCATATCCATAGTACGTCATGGTTTTTGGTTAAAACCTCCAAATTCGATATTTTGTAGATTTTGGGTGAAATTCAGCAAATGAGTACTAACAGGAGGAAACTATTTAAAGGCATGTTCTTCCGTGGACCAAATACTATTTTGAAAACCATGTTTGGACTGTTCCACCGTGTTCTGGTCTCGCTCACAAGCCAAAAATAGTTCGACCGGGGTGCGCGGCCAAATTTTCAAAAATCAGCACGACTTGCGGATGGTCCCCCTTGTCGCCAGACATGATTTTGGTTGACTATTTCGCATACGGAACTTCTGAGTCAAGGGTCCCAGCACTTCCACATCCCAATTTGGAGTCGTTTGGAAAAAGTTTGGTCCCAGGACGGGCCCAGCTATCCCCAAAACATTTCTATTCGAGTATTTTCAGAGAAGTTACAGCACTTTGAATGTGTTGCATAATTTTGGCGCACCCTGTAGAATTTTTCAGATATTTTTTACTCCCGAGCTGAGGATTTGGTACCACTAATTCGCTTTGTACCGCATTGACCAGTGAATTTTCGTTGCCCATTTTACAAGTCAATAAGATATACAAAAACCGGTTGTTCAGTGGATTTGACCATTTCCACCTTCGGACTCTTGAAAATGATCAAAATGGTCAAAAATTAACTAAAAATCACGTTTTTATATATCTTATCCGCCTTAATCGTATGTATCTTACCTAATCCTACACAGAGCTCTGGAATCGGAAAATTCACAGTGACAAAACCTTTCTCGTTGTCCATTCTGCGTGAATAAGGTTTGCTACTTGGATTTTCTGGTGGTGTTGGCGATGGCGGATCAGAAATTTTGTCTGAAATTTGAAAAATAAATTTTCTGCTTAAAGTAAAGTTTGTGATCATGCGATTCGAAATAGTAGGCACACAGTGCGGTTTTGGAATTTCTAAGAGAATGAAGGAATACGGTAACAAAAAATCTGCTAGGGGCAACAACGTTTTTGCGTATGGATGAAAAAATTCGACATTCCGCGATCCGACTGCGTCTCTTATCTCTTGTCTAAATCTGATTGATAAACCCCCCGTACACTTGTCAGATCCTTCCGAACACTCGTCGTTTTCTTTTTCCGTGGATGGTTGTGGAGAGAAGGAGACCCGCTGAAGATAATATTGGCTTTTTTAGACGGTAATACCCCTGAGAAAGACAACCCCGTCGACGGATGCATAGAGAACGCAGTGTTTAGGTTATGGAGTGAGTGGGAGTGTAGAAGTTAAGGAAAGGAGGTGTTATAATAACGATGGGGGGGGGGGGGAATTTCGGATGTTGTTATTTGCGATGTTGAGACCAATTTTTGGAAATTTTCACTGAAAATACAGTTCGGGTCAATAATACATGCAGAAATGTGTTTTTCAGCTGATTTTGACCCTTTTCAGGTGTCTGGAACTTGTGGCTGTCAAGTGTTGGAACATTTTTAAAATTTTGTAGGTTATAAAACAGGCCTAGGTTAAAAACTTTGCAGTTACAAAACTTTTTTAGTATTCCTAGTTTTTCAGATATTTTTTATTCCTAGTTTTTCAGATATACTGAAAACGTGAAAAAAATAGTTGTATAATCAGATTCAGTTTGACTACATGGCATTCACAGAATTTCTTAAAAATTCCTAGTTTTTAGCCATTTGCCCATTTTTGAAGGACACCTGCTCTTTTAATCGTTTGCAGTGCAAAAATAGGATAAAACGGTGTCTTTCAGACATCGGCAAATAACTGAAAAACTAGGAATATTCACAAAAATCTGCAAATGCCAAATTTTAAATCTTGATCTGTTTTATAACCTCCAATAGTTTCAAAGTGATCGAACAATTGATCTCTGAGCTCCAAACTCTTGAAAATGGTGAAATTTTACTGAAAAACACATTATTGACCGTCAATGTACACGAAACTGGCTGAAAAGGTATTTTTCTGACTATTTTTTCCGAAAAATCCATTTTCACGACATCGGACGAGATTTTTCAAACGTTTCCGTAAAATTTTTCTTAAAGAAGTTTCAATTAGGTTCAAAAACAGTGCTTACGTTCTCCGACAAGTTTAAATTTTGACGTCAAAACTGTCTTTTCCTGATTAGGAAAAAAGTACAAGGTCAAGAGGACTGAAGAGCAAACACTCTTATCATGCTAATTAATCATTTTTCTTGCAAATCGCCAAAAAAAAAAAATCAAATCAATTTACCTGGTCCATACAATTCATAGCTGGAAGAATTAGGGTTAGATGAGCAATGTGAGTATTGATGTTGTGGTGGGGATGAGATTTGGCTAATTGGAATAAAAAATGAGTGCGACAGTGACGTGCAACCGTCTGCGTGGTGTTCTCTCGCTCTTCGGGGAGTCCCACCGGGCGTTCAAAGTACGGTAACACTTGTTTTAACTGTGTCGATTTTCTTGTGTGTGCGTGAGCGCAGCGTGCAACGTGTATGTGCCGCGAGATAGAGTGTGCATGGTGGAGTGTGAGTCTCTATGGGCAGCAGGAAACAAGAGAATGATGAGATAGGAAATGAGGTGCTAAGAGAAGACGACCGAAGAGAGAAGATTTGCCCTTCATGGTAAGGTTTCTCTATTCTCAATGGGGAGAAAAAAAGGAGTCAAGAATGAGAAAAAAAGGACATTCTAGAGAAGGAAAAGATTTTATCGTAAATGTACCTAGTCGGATTTTTAGGAAAATTGGAATTTTAAAAAAATTATTATTTTTTATAATTTTTCAATTTTTCAAATCTTGTTCATGTTCCAAAACTTTTACAAACAACAAAAAAAATAAAACGAACGGAACATTCAGATTGACTCTTGTTTTGTTCCGTGCAAGCAGAAAGCAAGCCATAAAACATTGTAAAGTTATCACCTTCCCCCGAAAACACAGATCACAAACCACACATTTCTGCTGATTCGGAGAAAATTGAACGCTTTCAAAGTATGAACCTTTGAAACTTTCTGATTTTCAAACTTTCCTTAACTCAAAAGAAAAGAAAACATTCTAATTGTTTTATGGTTCTCAGTATTTAAAAATAAAGTCAATTTTTTGAAGTTTTGATTGAAGCTTCGGAAACTAAAAAAGTTGTTAATATTCTGAAAACGTTAAATGTCGATTTGGACTCAAGAATACTAAAGAAATGACTGATGTTGACTCATATTTCCATGGGAAACTGTGAGAACTGCGAGTTCTTAGTGTCTTTCTCTCTCCTGACCATACGAAGAGCGCTTCTCAAAATTTGGCTTCGCTTTTAGAAAATAGTCAAAAAATAAACATTCAAAAAAGTCTATAAGTACAATTCTTGCCATAAATATACGAAAAAACGTTTTTTTAAGTTGATTTTGACACTTTCCAGAAGTCTGGAGCTCGGTTGTAAAGTGTCCGATCATTTTGAAAATATTGTAGGTTATAAAACAGGCCTAGATTGAAAACTTTGCAGTTACAAAACTTTTTTAGTATTTCTAGTTTTTCAGTTATTAGCCGATTTTTTAGCGAACGACCCTTTTGTACTGAAAACGTGAAAAAACACCTTTGAAACTTTCTTTGCTCTAGGACAGCCAAGCTGCAGGCTACTGAAAATTGTCAAAATCAACTGAAAAACAGGAATTGTAATTTCCTCTTTTCTGTTACTAACTCAAAATTGGAAAGAAAATCAGAAAAAAAGAAGGAATAACGTTTCATTATCTATTCTACCACCAATTTAGAATAGACCGATTTCAAGACAAGAGACATAAGAAAAGAAAAAAAAATGCGAAATTGGAAAAAAAACGGAGAAAGAATGAGATGAATTTCTCATGGCTAGTAGTTCCGAAAAAGAACCTTCACGGGCGAGGAATTTGCGGGGAAGAAAAAAGACAAATTACTGGTGGGGGGGGGGGGACGGTAAGAAATTTCAATGCATGAATGTGTGTGTGGGAACATGTAGATATAGAGAATGAAGATGCAAAAGAAGAGTAATAAAAAATTTGTATTGTTATCCCCTATTGCTAAATCTCAAATTTTCAGTAATACAACTGATCTCTCCGTTTCGCATTTTCTAGCAAAATTCGCTCAGCGGCGGCGTGATCCATTTGGAAGCACATATAGAACAAGTAGAGCGTCGGTGTGCTGATGATGATGATGAAGACGGAAGCGAGCAGATAATCCATTCTTCGCGACACCTGCAAATACATGTTTGTATCTGAATATGTTTGTATTTAGCGCGAGATTATCTTCCTCACCTCTCCCCACTGCTCGGCCGTAGTGTGTATATCCATATAGACTTGTCCCTGGAAATATTAAAATTATATATTTTTTCGAATCAAGTGCGCCTCACATTCTGCTGAAAGAAAGCCGCATGCTTTCGAGCAATGAACAATCCCTTCCTAATCCAGTTGGGTGGACTTAGAAAATGTGTACGGAAGCCCTGAAATAAAAAAAATTGTTAAATAGAAAAATCCAGCAATAAAGAATACCTTTGCATGGACCCTCATCACAGTTGATGTCAGAATCGTGGCGATGGTTACCATGATAATAATGAAGTGCATGTAGACAACTGAAACACGTTGAAATCAAAATTGTTGCTGTGCTGGAATATTCATGAATTTTTCTTTTTCTCTTAGAAAATCAACTGAAAAAAGCAAAAACTGAAAGAAAAAACCTTATTTTTCCATAGTTGTTTCTTGTTTGCACTCAAGTTTACGATTTTTGCTCTGATTTGAAAAAAGTGGTATGATTATAGAATAGTATGAGTAATGTGACCAAAAATGCAATTTTTTCATTTCATAGTTTTTGAGAATATTCAGTTCAAAAGTCATTTTCTGAACCTGTGAATTAGAAGAAATGGTTTTCCAAGGAAAATGATTATAAATATGATCTCTCGTCTGCATAAATTTGGAAAATATTAGTCAATAAAAAAAAGCAGAGTTGGTCCAAGACGTTGCTTACCTAGTAACCATTATAATAGCAAGACCCATCCCCCTTTACTTCCTTTGAGTCAATTTATCTCGGTCTTTTCATATGATATCAAAAGATGGTTCACTATCAAAATATTTTTGATATTATGATAAACATTTTATTAGTTGACAACATTTTGATATCTTTTCTAGGAAGATTGATAAATGGACTTAAAGTTGATGGTTTGGATCAAAGGCATCTCATGAGAGTGCATACTGTATATCATCTATTTAACTTTTTTTTTAAAGTGTTAAAAATGATTAATTTCTTTGAAATTTTTCGTCTTGTACATAACTTCAACTCTCTTATCACAAGCTTCTTGAAAACGCGTTTTGAATCACTTCGAACATTTTACGTTAGTTCAGAAAGTTAATGTTTTCCAATAATTCTAAATATTGCTAACATTCCAATTTTCAGAAACTCACTTAATAAGGGCACACTCTCCGAACTATGCGGAACCTTTTCCGTGACCACCAAAGACAATACTGCCATACTGAGAATTGCAGTGACTCCAAGTGTGAAGCGTTCCTGGAAAATATATTTTTTTGGCAAGAACCTTCAATACATGGAATGTTCAAACCATGGAAAGTTTAAAAGCTGAAACATCCGAAAAAAGATCACATCAATTTTTTCAATTGCGTTTCGGAATTTCTTTGGATTCAATTTAAACAAAAAATTTCGATCTGGATCTCCTCACCCAGAACAAGCCCCAACCCTACCTGTCTCTCATGTTTCGTGGAAAACCTTGCGAAAAGTCCAGCTATCGAAAGTACACAAATGATATAACTTGGGACCACCAAGCTGATCAAGTAGTAGAACGGTTTTCTGGCCACTTTGATGTAATAAATTATCTCACTGACAACGGTTTCCTCATGTTCGTATTCCTTCCGTGCCATGTTGACATCCTAAAAATTAAGAATTTTAAAAATCATTTTCCCAAAGTTTCAATTTGATCTTTCGACTTTTAGTTCCGTATGAAAGACAACAGGCAGATAATTCACACTATGTACATTTTCAACCACTTTTTTGTTCGCAAACAATGTAATATCGGATGTTTGACACAGTTTGTTAATTCAGCTGCTCTTCATCAGGAAGTGCAGGAGAATTGTGCAGCTAAATGAATTGGAAATGAAAATCTAGGGACCTGAAGAGCCCATTCCTCATTTGGAGCATAATTCTTGAGAAGCGGTTTGTGTGACGCGTTGAGCAATATCTTATCCTCATCATAGGCCCATGAAGCGAACTGAAAAGTTTAGAGTTTTTGTCATGAGGTCAAAGTTCATACGACTTACTCGAATTTTGCACACTTGATCGTCAAACGGGAAATTGGCGATTCCTGGAAGATTTATTGATGGGAAAAAACGCTCTCATCTCTCTCTTCTTCTCATTTTGCACTCCACAAAATCTCGAAAGTTGTTCCAAGATAATTGATAGGAGGTTCCCACAAAAAGAAAATGAGAAAAAGATGCCAGAAAGCACTCATCATTAATCAAAAATCCATTAGGGAAACCAGAAAAAACCCACATACCAATCTGACAGAGGACAGTGTAAATTGCTGGATAGGCGTAGGTGACTTCTCCGATGTATGAAACTTTGATCGGGGATCGAACTGCGTCGAGGAGCATTTTGTGTTCAAGTCTGAGAGCTTTGTGATTAATTAAAATATTTTCAAAGAGCAAAACAACAGAAACAACTATTTTCATTTTTTCTAGCAGTCTCAAATTCAAAATTTGTATTTTTTGCGGAACACTGCAAGATTTTGAGCAAAATTGAAGGTATCATGATACCCTAATTTCCCAATCAGGAGATGTCAATTTTTGAAAAAAACTGGTTGTTCGTTAAAAAATTTTAAAAGGAAAACACATGTTCATGTTTTAAACATTGGGCCAATATCAGACATCTTTGAAATACACTACCAATTTCATAGTTACGATGCTTCTAAACTCTCTAACATTTTTGAGCGGTTTTGAAGTGCGATAATGAAAAATAATGGAGCATCCTAAGATTTCTAGAAAATTTAGAAAAACTTTTTCGAAAACTTTTTTTCAAATTTTTCTCAGTCGACCGTGAAAAAAAGAAACAAATTCTGGTTCCAACTTTCTTTTCAGAGTAAGGCATAGGGGTTACACACTGCTGGAATACTAGCTTAGAATAGTTCCCAATCTTGTCAAAGAGCTATCTTTCCATTGCTAGTAAAACCGTATTTTCTCGGTCACCTCATCACAAAATTTACCTGAATAATGTACACAAGAACTTGCATATTTTGATTCAACTCGTTAATTCCAATAATGTGCACCAATTCGATGTTATGAGAAATGTCAACTCTTCCATCTGGAGGAGAGCATCTGGAATAAACTTTTTTTGTAAATTTGATTTTTTTAAAATCCCTTTCTAACTTGTTATGTTTTTCGAGTAAATGTCGTGTCAGTCGACTAGATGATCCTAAAGAAATAAAAATCATTTGTCTTAATAAAAAATCAGTCATACCTTGGTATTGTTCGGTGAATTGTGGTATTGAAAGCGTGACCGTTTGGTAAAAAATGAGTATTGTGAATATTGAGAACTGCATTTTAACTCAAAAAATTAAAATAAAAGAATAAAAACAAACTGGTAGGAATCGGGAGAAAAAATGTGTGAACCTGAATGAGGACACCGAGATGTGATGAGCAGAAGAAGCACACAATGAGAGATCAGCGCGAGATGCAATGGAGCACTGAGAGGAAGAAGGGCTCACAAAACAATTAACGAGCCCATTATCCAGTTATTCGGTGCGAGAGACGACGGCGCACTCTATTTTCCCGCTCTTTTTCTTCATCTTTCTGAAATTTTTTTTTTCTGTGATCCGCGGTCCGCATGAAGCATCATGAAGAGAAGAGTGATCCCATCTGTCATAAAAAAGTTCCCTCTCTTTTTCTCAGGTACTCGTGTCCGGATATTTTTCATTTCTTCTAAAAGTCACATTCTTTATTATTCCACGTCAACAAAAAATATGAAGTCATTCATAAATATGTTTTAAAGGGTATTCATAAATATTCTAGAAAAGGTGTTACTGGAGAAAAATTGGAAAAACATAGATGTTGACTCGGGCAGAAGTCTTCTGACAGTCTTTTTGTTACATTTTAGTACTAATTTTGACACGAAAACATGGAAAATTCTTGAAAATGGCATTGAAATTTGAAATACATGTCGGTGAACCTAGGAAATGTCTGCGGGATTGATATTATAGCACTTGAAATCCTCTAATAAGAACTACCAATGCTCCAGCTGACGATTCAGACGGTTCGATTGAAATTGGCTTAAAACAACGGCCCAACGGACTCAGATAAAGCAATTTTTGGAATTCAAATCATGATTTTTTGTTCACCAGGTTCGGTTTTCTGGGGTTCTCAACGATGGTGGCTTTATACTTTTGTTTTGTCTGCGGAAACCGATTTTTTAGTTTTCGTACTGCCATTTGGCCGGTTTCAAGAACATAATTACCCAAATTTTATTACTGGGGTAACTTTGGATGCAGATCATGGTTTTGTGCTTAAAATTACAAAAAAATTGTGATTTACAAGAGATATGGCTATTGTTGGGTAGGCCTATGTTAGGCACTTTATTGGAAGTTGTATGAGTTTGTATTTTCTAGTCAAAAATCGAAATTCAGGTATAAAGTTGAAAGCCTAAACGTAAGATAGAGATCAAATTGTTCATTAAAATTACAATTTTCTATATCTGGAAAAGTTTTAAAAATTTGTTATCCGACTTAGAAATCATTTTGTTGAAAATCCCCGGTTTTCTAAATGTTCAAAGCATAAATTGTTTTCTGATTCGACCTCTCTAATTTGATCCTTTCCTAGTTTTGCTTCTATTTCCCAATTTATCATATTTTGATTTTCTTATTTTGATCAGTTTCACATCAGTACCAAACCATAAAAATTCCCAATTCCTATCTCTCGAAAACCTTGAAAAATTCCGCTCTTCTCTTTTTTCACAAGACCACCTCTAAAAGTCACAAGGAAGACAAAATCTGAGGAATTCGTGTACCGTAACCCGTGTGTGTTGTCCCCAACGGGCGCCGTGTTCTTCGCGCTGTCGAACTGTCACTCGTCGTCATTTATCTGTCGCGCGGCGATTGCGTTGGGGCGCTAATAGATTCGCATTCATCTTCGTCGGGGAAGAAGGCCCGATCCGTCGGAGAAGGCCGAATGTTTTTTCGTCTCACTATCTTCTCACATTTTTGATTTTCGCAAACTTTGATCGGAAATCACATCGGAAGATGTTCGGAGAAAGGATATGATATACGGTTATAATGTTGTCGGGTCAAAGAGAGAAAATTACTTGGAATTTTGAAAAAGGAGAACTACAAATTGCCACAAACTTTCAGATTTGTGTTTATTCGGAAAACTGACTTTCAAAAATCTTATACAGTACCGGTCGATAAGATAAACAGAAACGTGTTTTTCAGTTGATTTTCGACATTTTCGGGAGTCCGGAGGTCGGCTGTTAAGTGTTCGTTCACTTTGAAAGTTTTGAAAGTTATGAAACAGAACTAGATTAAAAATTTTGTCTTGACAGAATTTTTCAAAAATTATTAGTTTTTCAGTTATTTACCGATTTCAGAAAGAAACCTGTTTTTCACAGTTTTCAGTTCAATACAAACCAAAAAGAGATGTCTTACAGAAATCGGCTGAAAACTGCAAATCTAGGAGTTTTCGAAGAATTCTGTGAATGCAAAATGTTCAATCTGGGTTTGTTTTATAACATTCAAAATTTTCAAAGTCATCGGACACTGGACAGCCGAGCTCCAGACTCCTGAAAATGGTAAAAATGACCGAAAATCAACTGAAAAATAAGTATGTATATCTCACAACTGGTAAGGTATGTGATCTTAAAGTTGGACGTTCGGATGATCGGTACTGTATGGGTCATTCGTAGTACTGACTTTCGAAAATCGTTCATTTACTGGTATACTGTACGCCATCTTTGCGTTCAAACTTCCATACAAACAATACCTTTGATTTTGATTCACTACTACTTGGGCGTTTCCTTCTTGCCGATTTTTGTAAGACGATAACAATAGAAGATCAGTGTATCCCATATCAAAAAATTCGTTGAAGCCGAAAATAACAAAAACACAAAAAATCGGAACCTGTTTGACAAACGAAACTCTAGTCTTATGTATTTTTTTTCCCACGTGTGGAACTATATGTGCATCAAAACTTTCGAAACTTTTGCGGTTTTGAATCAAACACCAAGCTGATCCATCTCCGTTCTACTGAGTGACCATTTGCGTCACAATTGACGATCTCTTCAAAAATTGCATCTATTTCCAAATCAGTGTCTCTTCTCTTGCAAGTTCAAAACCGTTTGAAGTCGCAAAAATTGGGAAAAAGTCAAGTTACTTTAGAAAGTTTCTCTGATGATGAATGTGTCTTTGAAAATCTGCAGATGGGCGAAAAAGGAAACTGACAAGTGTACAAAAAATGTGATTGCTGCAAACGCATTCGTATCGTTATGAACCCGATTTTTGAAAGTCACATCTATCACAAAGAGATGTTAGAGAAATAGGAATGTAAGAAGCTAAAGATGAAGGGACACAGAAATATATGTGTGGCTGGTTTTTGAAGATGGATCACTCAAATGATCCTTATCGAGTCTTGAGGAAAGTTCTCGATTTTCGTGGTGTGAGGCATTCATTTTTTGGGTTAGATTTCGATCTATTTCAAAATAATAGGAATGTTTTCCTATTTTTTTGTGTCTACAAGAATACAGTATCCGGAGTTTCAAAACGAATTTCTCGAATTTTCCGTGTTAGACCTTTTCCTATTCAAAATCTCTGAGAGCAATTTTACCAAATACATGTAAAAATTCAGTATGTACAGTACCGGTGAATAATATACACAAAAACCTTTTTTCGGTAGATTTTTGGTCATTTTTAACATTTTCTGGAGTCAAAACCTTGGTTCTCAAGTTTCCGATAATTATGGAAACTTTGGAAGGTGAAAAACAGACGTAGATTGAAAAATTTTGCGTTTACAGAAGTTTTCGAAAATTCCTAGTTTTTCAGCTATTTGCCGATATCTGAAAGATACATTTTTGGCCCGCTTTCACACTGAAAACTTGAAAAAACAGGTGTCTCTCAAAAATGAGCCAATATCTGAAAAACCAGGAATTTTCAAAAAATTCTATAAATACAAAGTTTTCAATCTATGCCTGTTTTATAATCTTCAAAATTTTCAAAATGATCGGAAAGTGAATAGGCAAGCTCCAGACTTCTGAAAATGGTCAAAAAAGCCGGAAATCAACTGAAAATACGTTTTTGTATATCTTACTGTATTCGTGTTCACAAAAATACAGTAACCAGAGTTTCAGGATCATATCCTAGAATTTTCCGGATTAATTGATTTTTTTATTAAAAACAATTATTTGATTTTAATTGAAACTCAATCTTTGAAACCGAATTTCATAAAATCCCTGTAAATTTTTAGTCTGTATCTCTCAACTTTCCCTTTTCAGTTTTTCTTGAAAGATCACCAAGACCATACAAACCCCATCATACGATCAAAACCTCTAAAAATCACCGTACCTACCTAAACCTCTGCAGAAGATATGTGTTAAGTGTCTCCTTTATTACATCAGAAACAATTTACCGTGATTTATATTATCATCAAACGCAGTGACATTGACATAAGAACAATTTTGTGTTCTTTTTCGAACGAAACTAATGAGAATAAGAAGTTCTCATAAAATCATTTTGATTCATGGCTTCTTTGTCACATGAGATGTAGAATTCCGCTTTTTCTCTTCATGCGGTCTTTGTTTTACATAAATCACCACATAACACTGCATCTGAAACCGATCTTTTGTTGGTTGTTCTTTCAGTGATAAGTACTTTCAGTATATGTACAACTTTGGTTGTTTGTCAAAAAAATCAGTTAGACTGATAAAGAAACTTCTTCTCGGTAGGTCAAAGAACTTCCGCGTCGATTAGATAAATTATGATCGAGTTGTTTGTGAGTACCATGGAACAAACCGGCACATACCTAATAAAGGTCATTTTGGGGTTCCAGAAAAAAGAAAGATTTTTTATCATTATTTGACATTTAGAAAGGTATCTTCAAAAATTGACTTCCCCTGTAATCTGAGGCTAACTCGATTAAATAAAAAAAGTTAACTCGCTTATCTTACTCCCTTTAAAAATCTAAAAGACCAAATTTTTTTTTGGGGAAAAGAAACCGATTTATTCCTTCTCTACAAACTACAAGGAGGATGACTTTCATAAGATACACGTTGAAAAACGTTATATCTTTTTTTCATTCTTCTTCCGTCTTAGAAAGATTGACGAGTAGTATGTGGCCACATGATTGAACGGTTTCTCTCTCTCACACGTTTTTTCTCATTTAGATTATCTTCATAGGAGGTATAGGGTGAGACCAAAAAATCGTTTGAAGAAGACAAAAGGAGAGAAAAAACACGTGTAATCAGTTCGTTCCTATTAGGAATTTGTTTTTTGAAGAAGACGTGGAGACATTTCGACGACAGCGGAGTGTGAAGAAGCTTGGGTTCTTCTAGAGAACATTTTTATGTTGTAAAAACTAACCGGTTCTATAGAAAGTTCTAGAAATTTCAGCAGAAATTTCCAGCTTAAGTCATACATATAGTTCCGATTTCAGAGTTATCAATCAAATTAAAGAAATTGAAAGACCAAAACAAACTGCGTACATGTTTAAAGAAAACAACAATAACACAACTAGACATTACCAACAAAAATATTTCTTTTTTGAAAAAATTTGGGATCACAGGTTTTGATGGGCTCTCAAATATGCTGGTTTGTCTACTGTCGGGTGTCTGAAGCTTGGCTGTCATGTGTCCGATCGTTTTGAAAATATCTGAGGGTTTGAAACTGACCTAGATTGAAAACCTTGCATTTACAGAATTTTTTTGAAAATTCTTAGTTTTTTAGCTATTTGCCGATTCCTGAAAAACACCCCTTTTTGGCCTCATCTGTACTGCAAACGTGAGAAAACAGTTGCCATTTAGAAATCGGCATGAAGCTAAAAAACTAGTAATTTTCGAAAAATACTGTGAATGCAAAGTTTTCAATCTGGGTTTGTTTTACCACTCTCAAGAACTTTCGAAATATCGTACTTTTCGTAACCTTTTCATTTATCATTAGATCACAAACCCTAAGAAACAATTCCGGTTCCTGGTCTCTTGCTACCGTACTCCTCCTTCTCCTTCTCCTCCGACTCCTAGTAGTGATTTTTGTTGCATAACTCCCTTCTCATCCTATTTCATCGTGTCCAAACCATCTAAATTGATAAGTAGTTTACCAATCAGTGTAGTAGCCTCGTAGTAGAATCCTACAGTACTCTCCCCATCCGTCCTTGATAATATTCACCGAAATAGCTTTCTTTGGAGGCTTCAGAGTCACTGGTCGTTGTGCTGTTTTGATATGTTTTTCCCGGTCTATTATACTGGTCGATTTGACTTTTGAAGATGTACCAGAAGTTTTCAGGGTGCTAGACAAACAGAGAAAGAACACAATACAGAGCCAGTGAACGAGAATGATGTTAGTTTTTTGGCGACGTGAAAAGAAGAAGCCGCACCCTGAGAACACAAAGTTCGAGAAGGGGCTTTCTCACGGGCTTCTTCTGTTTACGTGTATTTACACTATGACTGTTTGAATATGGCGAATAAGAATCAAAAGCCTATCTAGAAAAATGTTTCGAAATCAAAGAAGGAGTTGTCACTCAAACTGACACGAACGTTTCCAAATTTAGATTTTCCATTGTAACCATCAAAAGTCAGGAGATATTTCGGAAAAGGCGAAAAAGTTGGAGGTCGTCCTCAAAGATCCATCAACAAGTGGCGCAATTTCTTCTAGAAGCCGTGTCGTCTTGATGAATGGATGACACGAGGGGGGGGGGGGGGGCAAAGGGCATGTTTTTCGGTCAGAGTTTACTACGAGTTGTTTCGAAAATTCTACGAAAATACCATTTTTCTTCTGTGCGGGGACAACAGGACAGCTAAATCCGGACGAATGGAACCTGAATGTGTCCGCTATGTGACCAAGGACGGATTACGGTAGTTGCATGATCATCGGAAAGAGGGGAAGAAGGAATAGGGGAAGTGAAAACGAGCTGGCTGTTTGAATATGAAGATTGAAAGTTGGAAGAAGAAAAGCTTCTGGTGCTGAAGTGTGGAAAATACAAAAAATATACAGTTTTGGCCAATAAGATATATGTGTTTCTTTTGACCATTTTCAGAAATCTAACTTAGCTGTCAAGTGTGCTATCATTTCGAAAATTTTGGAGATTTTAAAGCAAACCTATATTGAAAACTCTCTAACAGAAAAAAGTTTTTAAACTTCTTAGTTTGTCAGATATTTGCTGATTTCTGAAGAAAACCTTTTTTGAGAGCTTCAGCACGAAAAGAGGCCAAATAAAGGTGTCCGTCAAAAATGGTCAAATAGCTGAAAAACTAGAAACTTTATAATGTTTCTGTAAATCCAAAGTTTTCAATCTAGGTCAATCTGTTTTACACCCTCCTAAATTTTCAAAGAGATTCTACACTTGACAGCCGAGCTCCAGACTCTTGAAAATGGTCAAAATCAATTGACCGATACTGTATTTTTAGGCTTCGAGTAAAGATCATCTGAATCACAGAATCTCTTGAGAATAGGTCTGAAGATTTACGATCACGACTCTATCCGCTGAATCTTAAGATCAACGTCTATGACGTATGGAAAAAGCAGGCACAGACTACAAGGGCACAAGCATACAAACATTTATGAAATACTGAAAAGTTCAGAAATCGTCACAATAAGCAGAGAAAAACTTATGAAATGCTAAGAAGTTCAGAATTCAGAATTCGTCAAACCATTGAATCTAACAAAAAAGTTCAAGTCCATTCAACTATTCATTTAGAAGGAAGCTTAAACTATTACACTCCAAAAATGACCCCATGAACTGTTGTGGTCAAGAGGGTCAAGAAGCCTAAGCTTCCATTTGAGAACAATGAACTTCTAGAAGGCACACGCTTCCCGGCCAACGTGAGACTGATGACTGTACACGGACTACGGTCACTGTAGTAGTAGTCTGATTGTGTTCCGCATGACGATTTGATGAATGAGACGAAAATAGCCTAGCCATTTTGAGTGCATTATTTCGGGCGTAGATATCGTATCCCCATCAACCCCATCTTCTTTTTAGGCATCACGAGTTGTCGGAGTTTGCGCGCACCACGGTGAAGAAGATGTTTGTGATATATGCAGGGTGCATGATAACGACGGAGATCGAAACACGACCTCGACGTACCCCACACACATCTAAATCGGATCCTTCTTCTTTATTCGGCGACATCTTTTTTTCTCACATCATCATTATCATAGATTTTTCGACCACTATCATCTTCAGAAAACTGTGTGTGCCTGCTGCACTGGCTTCTCCTCCACTCTAACCACAGGGCGATCATTAGAGATCCCATCCATCATTCGTCTTTCCGCGCAGAAACCACCAAAACCCTCTAGCGACGGTGTCGCTATTTCCACCATCCCTCTAGTCGCCTCATCCCTTCGATTCATCTTCTTCCCCTTCATCTTCTTTTTCGCGGTAGCGGTGATGATATTTTTAGAACATATCAGTTAATACAGTGTCCTTCGCCTTGCCCGCGAGGCAATCTTCAAAGTTCCAAGGAGGCGGAGCTTCGCGCTTCCGACGACTCTCACAGACAAGGAAGGGCGGTCGAAAAGAATTCGATTGGGGGTGGGGGGGAGCGGGTGGGCGGAGTTCTCTCGAACACATAAAAGGTGGCAGTTTCAGAAGATCGACACGCAGTTTCGACTTGCGAGATCAAGCAATTGAATCTCAAAAAAGCACCGCTTGCAAACATGAATTTTACTACCGTCGCCGTTCTCGCTTTTATTATTGTCTTGGCACAAGGTGAGCAATACATTTTGATCTTTAGAAACTTCTAGAAACTTTTAGAAACTTCTAGAATAGTAGAGCAATAATTTACGAGGTTGACCACAACTCATCAAAATCAATTTTCAGCCAGCCCTGCCCGTGTTCGTCGTGATTCCGCTTCCGATCGCTATTGCGTCAAGCACATGGAGCACTACAACAAGTACTGTGGAGAGAATGCTGGACCAATCGACCGTGCCCTCTTCGGAAAGGTGGCCAAGTTCTGCCCAGCCTACGAAAAGCACTGCGCCGTTGGAAAGGCCGGACTCGTCGAGCTCCCAGACCTCGGATCCCCACTCGTGATGCCACCAGTTCTTCCAAGAGGATCCGACTTTGCCAGCCTCGATTTGCCAATCGCCGATGAGCGCAAGCCAATTCAACACAACGCACCAAGAACCGTTCCACAAACCACCCGTCTCACCGCCGCCATCGTCGCTACGTGCACACCAGAATGCACCGCTCCACACTGTACCGACGAGTGCAAGTGCGCCCACACCCATCCAAAGGTCCACCAGATGTGCAACCCACCATCGTCGGCCTCCATGGCTCAAACCTGCCAACGTTGGTACTCCAAGTGCACCATGTTCGCTCCAGTACAGTATTAAAAAAATTGGTTTTGGTTGTTAATTTTGTAAATAGCTAAACCCTCCGGTTCAAAGCGACCGTTAAGACAAGCAATGTTTTTTGCCTAGGTGGGCCCTCCCATTATCCTAACACCCCTTCTCTTGTTCACCCCCCCCCTATAGTAATTGTTATGAGCTCGCACCCTAGTGCAATTATTTAATTTTTCTGCTTATCCCCCGCCCCCACATTTTTCTAATTTTCTCTATAGCGCTCCTACCGATTCGCTAAGCTATTTAAGATCTCGATATCTTGAATCGTGTACAACTTTCGAAAGCTTTTAAAATAGCTAGATAACTGATTAATCAGTTATCGCAGCGAATTGGTATGGAACTTATCGCTGGATAACTGATTAATATCTGCTTTTCTCTTTATTTACCTCCCCATTTGTGCTCTAAATTTACCCCAAAACCGTAAATTGTGGAAACTTCAGTACTGTGTACACCCACAAGTGCCTCAGTACTTGCTTGGAAATTGTTTAATAAAAATTATTTTTCTCAATTTCTTCTTTTCTTTTCTACTACAGGGAAAAGCTTCTACTTTACAGGGAAACGATGTTTTTTTCATACAGATACCGTAACCATCTTCTAAAGAAGACAACTAAGAAAGTGATACGTCTTTTTTTTCTTCTTCTTCTTCTTCACAACGAAAATAGATTGTAGATAGTGTGAAGGAGATCAAACGCTTAACGAAAATCTCTTCTTTCTTCCTTTTCCGTTCTTCTCTTTCGTCGTCGTCGTCGCGGGCTTCTGATGACGATAGAACGAGATTCGAAGATGAAGTTTCTTTTGATAAATGATGGTGGCTCGCTCTTTGAAAAGAAGGAGAAGAAAAGAGAAGCAGCAGAAGCAATATTATCATCATATCATCGCATTGAACATGTTCTTCCTTCCCTTCTAGTGTCAACATTTCTTCTTGGGCCTCTTTCTTCCAGGCACAAACAATTATTGCTTGCAAAAACGCCAAAAAGGTGTGGCGTGAGTTCCGTCAACCTTCGAAAATCGAAATAATGTTTTCCGTTTCGAGTTTTCAAACCGGATTATTTTCTTTTGATAACTACAATAACAGGAAATCGTGTGTTACGGTAGCCGCATGTTATCATAACAAGGCCAATGAGGAAGGTTGGGAGGGAACCTGAGGAATTCCAGAAAGTGATGTGGGTGATTAATGAGGAGGCGCTGGAAATGGAAAATAGCACCTGGAACTCAAAACATATTTATTAATTTTGTGGGGAATCGAAAACTTGTTTCAGGTCTTTCTTTGGCCAAAAATTGGGGGGGGGGGTACAATGATTCGGGGGTACAAGGGGGTACAACTGATTTAGGGGTACAAAATTGGTGATTCGGGGGTACAAAATTCGTGGGTACAAAAATTCGGGGGTACAACGATTCGGGGGTAAAATCTACCAATGATTCTGGGGTACAACTTATTTCATTTAGGGGTACAACGTTGTGATTCGGTGGTACAATTTTTTTGACGAAGTTTCTGAATTCCTGAATTTCAGAGCTTGAAAATCTCTGAATTCGGAATCTGAGAATTTCGGAACTTCCGAGTCTGAGAATCTGAAAATTTCGGAACATCAGAATCCGAGAATCTGAGAATTTCAGAACTTCGAAATCTCAGAATTTCAGAACTTCGAATTCTTAGAATTTTAGGACTTTGGAATTCCAGAATTCGCAATCTGAGAATTCCGTAACTTCAGAATCTGAGAATGCTAAAACTTCAAAATCTCAGAACTTCGGAACTTCAAAACTTCAGGACTTCAGAATCTCAATATTTCAAGAAAGACAATGGAGAACTGTGAAATGATTTTAACAAATTTTACAAACTGATTTTAATGCCAGTACTTTCCTCACTTTCAATTTTTCTCAATTTTATTTCTAAATTCTTTTTCATTTTCTTTTGTTTCTCAATATTCCTTCGTTTTTTCCAAATTTTCCGTTTTTCCCTATTTTTCTTAATTTTCCTCAATTTTTGCGGTAATTTAAATTTTTCTCATGTTTAAATGATTTTTTAGATCATTGATTGAAGGAAACAATCACAATTTAAATATTTCCCACAAAATTCGAAAATCCCAAAAATTGGCCCAAAGTGAGCTATTTTCTATCGAAAATAGTTCGAACAGGTAATAAAACATTACAAAAATTATAAAATTAATTTTTTTCGACCAATTACCACGAAAATTTGAGCAAAAATAATGAAAAACGAAGGAAAACGGAGAAAATCCCAAAAATAAAATTTGCGAGCGATGACGTCATCAGTCCATGGCCGTGGCCGAGCTGCGGGGTTTTCTCTTCCATGGGAAAATTTCGCGAAATTGAGATTTTTTCGCAATTCCCATTTTTCTCCGTTTTCCTTCGTTTTTCATCATTTTTCCTCAAATTTTCGTGGTAGTTGGTCGAAAAAAATTAATTTTATAATTTTTGTAACGTTTCATTGCCTGTTCGAGCAACTTCCGATATAAAATAGCTCATTTTGTTTTTTGGGATTTTTTAACTTTGTGGGAAATAGCTAAATTGTGGTTGTTTTTTTCAATCAATGATATAGAAAACTGTTTAAAAAGGAGAAAAATTTAAATTACCGCGAAAATTGAGAAAAATTGGGAAAAAGACGAAGGAATATTGAGAAACAATGGGAATTGAAATAGAATTGAAATAACAAGGAATTGAGAAGAGAAAAATTGGCATTGAGGAAAGTATCGGCTGGGTTTTGAACTTAAATTAAGCATTAAAAAACTGAGTTTGTAAAATTTCTCAATTTTAGCTTATTGTCAAAAAGTGTGACAATGAGAAGTGAAAAATTTCTGTCGTTCGAAATTCTCAGATACCGAAATACTGAAGTTCCAAAGTTCTGAAATTCTGAGATTCTGAAGTTCTGAAATTCTTTGATTTCAAAGTTCTGAAATTATGAGATTCTTAAATTTGGAAAGTCTCAGATTCTGAAGTTCCGAAATTCTCAGATTCCGAATTCTGGAATTCTAAGAATTCTGAAGACAATGAAGAAAATTTCTGCCGTAATTATTGAAAATTCAGAAATATTGAGATTCTGAAGTTCTGAAATTTTGAAATTCCGAAGTTCTGAAATTCTGGAATTCTGAGATTCTCAGATTCTGAAGTTCCGAAATTTTCAGATTCCTAAATACTGAAATTCCAAAGTTCTGAAATTCTAAAAATTCAGAGATTTTCAAGCTCTGAAATTCAGGAATTCAGAAACTTCGTCAAAAAAATTGTACCCTCGAATCACAAACGTTGTACCCCTAAATGAAATGAGTTGTACCCCAGAATCATTCATAGTTTGTACCCCCGAATCGTTGTACCCCCGAATTTTTGTACATACGAATTTTGTACCCTCGAATCACCAATTTTGTACCCCTAAATCAGTTGTACCCCCTTGTACCCCCGAATCATTGTACCCCCCGAATTTTTTGCCTCTTCCTTTTGCAATAGTGATCTGCGCCGAATGTGGGCATTGTCTGAAAATGTTTGCTAAAAAAGAAATCAAAGCTGAAAGTTTGGAAATCAAAGAAGTCTTGGAATACGAAAGGAAGCAGCAGAATTTGGGTCAATTATTGTAATCATCATCTGTCAAGAAGTTAGTATTGGATTCGGATTCAGGATACTGTAGAAACCAAAAAATCTTATCGAAAAAAATCTTGAAAAGCAATTTTTGTGATTACTTTTTGATATTCAGCTTACGATCACTGTAAAGCAATCATTATCTGTATATCAGACAGTATTTAGTTGGATGCAGTTTACTGTAGACATCAATGATATCAAAAATTCGTCAGAAAATCGGTTTTTATGATGTATTTTTTTTCTAGATACATTTTTTCAGATGAATTTGGTACGAAGGAATTTTTTTGGTTGTATTGTATAGATCCTGAAGATCAGAATTTCGAAAATCCAGAAAAAAAAACTCTACAGTACCGGTCAATAAGACATGCAAAAACGTAAGTTTCAGTTGATTTTCAGTCATTTTGACCATTTCCAGAAGTCTGGAGCTCGGCCATCAAGTGTGCGATCAGTTTGAAAATTCTGGAGGGTGTAAATCAGACCTAAATTGAAAACTTTGCATTTAGAGGATTTTTTGAAAAATCCTAGTTTTCCAGCTATTTGCCGATTTCTCCCATTTTTGTACTGAAACTTGAAAAACACGCGTCCTTCAGAAATTGACAAGTAGCTGAAAAACTGGGCATTTTTGAAAAATTCTGGGAATGCAAAGTTTTCAGGCTAAGTCCAAAACCTTCAATGTGGTTGAAAACTTGACAGCCGAGCTTCAGAATCCTGTAATTGGTTGAAAAGACAAAAAATCAGCTGAAAATTCCAATTTTTGGGTTCAGTTTGATGTTACTGTAAATCAATCCTTATCTGTAAAACAGCCAGCATTGAATTTGAATTCAGGTTACTGTAGACGTTTAACTATTCAGCTGTTTAGCTATTTTTGAAATTTATTTTTCAGAAATTCTTTGTTGAATACATTTATTTTGAGATAAGTTTTTTTCCGGCTGAATTTGGATGAATGGATATTTGTGACAGTTTGTTGTGATTGCAATAAACATTATTATCGGTTTTCAACCATCTCAGAGTTAAAAAAAATAAAAACGAGGACTTCTGAAAATTACCGTAACACTTTTAGTAGAAGGGCAGCTATTTATCTCCATTCGTATTGGAGATATCGAAAATGTGTCCACTGATAAAATGTTTGTCATATTATGATAAACAATGTAACAGTTAACAACTTTTGTATATCTTCAGCAATAACCCATAGAAATTAGCTCGAAGTTCAAAGTTCGGGTGGCGTTATATTATAGGTTGTACAATGTTTTTTATATTTTGGAATCCCTTTGGACTCCCGCTATACTTAGCTTGACCATTCCTCAAGTTTTTTCCTCTTCGAAGGTCGAGAAACATACACTCTTCAATTAGGACACTCAATGTTCACAGGTTTTTTTTGTCCTCGTTTTCTCGACAAGTCACGTTTGAAGTATACCGCACGCACCTTGTTTGTACTTCTAAAATCGTCGAAATTCTATTATCAGATCAGATGGAACAGATTGGTTTGATAAGGGCAAAAAACCTAACTATCATTGTGATAACGTGTGATACAAGAGTGTTTCCTATTTTGGGTGAGAAACGACGATCTTATGATTTTGAGACCTCTTGAAAAATCTGGTCGCTTTTGTGTCTGCTTGACCGTAGACAACAGACAAGGGGTCTCAAATTTCGAATTTGTTTCCTGTAGGTGGTAGCCCTACAATTTTAGGTCTCGATTTTTGGTCTCGATTCATTAACAAACTTGGACAAATATGTGAACAAGAAGCAAATGACCACACTGACTGTGAATGGGGGAGTACAAATTAGAGCAAATCGGTAAACGCAGTTAATTAACAAGGAGAGGAGGAAACACACAAGTTCTTCAGATATGACAGTGGCGGCGACGGCGGTAAGACGAGAACGTGCTAACAATTTCGAAACAAGTGACCATTTCCCAAAAAGCATCCACTTGCGAACCCGAACCCCGCTTTTTGTATACTCCTCTTCCGCCGGCTACAGTACAAAACGTTTTCCGCGAACTCAAGAGAAGTTCACCTGAACACCGGGAGGGAGCTCTTTAAGTGGCTCTGCTCAGGAAGGGGGAGTGCTCTGGGAGCCCGTTGAAAGTCTTGAATGATAGAAGGAGGGGAGAGACGGCGCTTGCCCAAACAAAGTCATATCCCTCCTACCCCAAACTCAAGTGTTGTTTCTGTGCTTTTGGAGGATCTTTGCGTTGATGAGTCTCTGAATGAGCTACTAGTTTGTGTTTCTGGTCACTGAGATTGAGATTGAAACATTATTTCTAATTTTCCAAACATATGACGGCGATTTTCATAATTGGATGTCATTCTCAGAAGCGATTCTTCTAAAAAGAAATTATGCTTTTTATTTCATTGTTTCCTGTCTGGTTTCGCTTATAAACCTCCCAGATAATTATTTTCATTTCCTTTTTTTTTGCTTTTTTTTTAATTGAGCGTGGCTACTTGAAATAAAGCTTTTGACGTGTATAAAACATAACTAGATTAAAAAATTTCCAATTACTGCTGATTCCTGAAGGACAACCATTTTTTCGGATTTTGTACTAAAACGGGTCAAAAAAGGTTTCTTCTATAAATTGGCAAATAACTGAAAAACTAGGAATTTTCGAAAAATTCTGTAAACGCAAAGTTTTCAATCTAGGTCAGTTTTTGATTTTCCAAACATTTCAAAGTTATCGGAAACTTGACAGCCGAGCTCCAGACTTCTGAAAATGGTCAAATGGCAAAAAATCCACCGAAAAATTTGATTTTGTATATCCGATACTGTATAAATCCCACAAAATTTTGAGAAAAAATTCACTGATGTTTTTTTTCAAATTGTGGATTACTAATCCACTTTTTTTGAATGAGTTCGAAACTGCCTGAATTTGTGTTTTTCTGTTTAATTTTTCAATTAATTTTGGAAATCATTTAACAAAATGTTTTGGCTTATTTAAAATTGAAATCTCGTAATTTGGTTGAATTTCTTGAAATTCAATTTTGGGATCATGGTCCTTTTGGCGCCAATTCGGTCGTTTTGGCTCTTTTGGCGCTAATTCCGTCTAATTTTTTCACCGGAAAATTGTATTTTCTCCTATAATTTGCACCGAATTATTTTGTCTTCCATCATATCCAATTTGTGTAGTGCTCTTGCTATCACATCTTGTTATCATTCTATCAGCTCTCTCTGCATCTTCACGCCAAAACCGGAAACCCCTTCGAAACAAATACACATGTTCCTCCTCTTCCCTAATGCACCGTATTCCGGTTGTCCACGCACATTTACACCGTCCATCAAGTGCCATTCGGATGCCCAATTGTTCTTGTCCATATTCTTATGAAAACTCTCTGTGTACACTGTTATCAATACCAATAATGCTCCGCCGCGCGGTGGTAATTTCTATGACCTTATACCGCGTCATCATGTTTTGTCTTTTTTATTGACTCGCAAATACCCCAAACACATTATTATATGCGGCACACATTCAAAAAAAAGAAGGTGTAGTATGTCCAAAATAGATAGTGATGAGAGAGACAGAGTAGGATGTAGTCGTCATATACATTTTTTTTCTGTGTTGTTGAGTTTAGATAATACCATAAGCAGATATAGAAATTTCGTCCGGCTGAGTTTTACATTATGGAAATGAAAATTTTGGAGATTAAGAGGATTTTGGGACTTTTTTGCAACTTTTAAAAGTGTGTTTCTGCAGATTTGAAATTAAGAAATCACGCCTATATACTTTTTGACTTAGTGATCGTTAGCTACATGATTTAAAGCTCAAAATGTTTCTCTACAAGTTTCTATAGCAAATAAAATCTAATCGTATTTCCCCTATTAGACGTCCACCCAAACCGGTAACTTTGAGCTCATATATCTCGATTTCTCTGAAAGATATTAAAACTTTGTCAACAGATAAAATATTGAAAATTAGATGAAAAACGATTTATCAGTTGACAAATTTTTTATACCATTTACAGGGATTGAGATAATTGAGCTCAAAGCTAACGGTTTAAATGGGCTTCCACTAGATTCCGTATTCCACGGTATTCCACCGTATTCCACCGTATTCCACCGTATTTCGTACCATTTGTCTTGATAATTCCAAAATTTCCACTTCTTCAGTTTTAATATCTTTCACTCAATTGGTTTTTCGATTCGAAATTCATAGTTTTATGCCCTTTCGTTTCCCTTTTTTCAATTTTCTCCTTTCGCCTACCAACACTCCCCAGAATTATAAATTGCTCCCTTTCAAAACGGTCACTCCTCAATTGGGGGCTCACTTTTCTTCGATATCCCTCAATTTTCTCATCACTGTCAGGAAATACTTCTAAAAACTTTACTGCGATTTTCGAAATTTGAATTGCCTTCATAGTAGATTCACAGTAGATTTACCAAATCCTACATTTGTATATATTCGTTTTCCGCATAACAGGACAAACACAAACTCTCCTTTTTCAACTATTCTACTTTTTTTCGTGGATGCGTGTCGGATATAGGAAATGGATAGAGAGCGAAATGAATGTGGTGAAAAAAAGGGCCGAATAACTAGTCATATCCAATCGGTTGTCGCTCATTTTTTTTGCCGCCAAAACAGCACCAAATCCGCATCGACGCGCGCGTGCGATCATCATCATAGCTAGTTGACCCTCTGTTGGACCTCCCAAGCATCCGCCGGACACTGCCGTCCGTGATTGCCGTACTCTTCCCCCCTCTTTTCCGTCATTCCCTCCCTCTTCCGTTCTAATTACCTGCTTATTATCCGACAATACACCTGGCTCTCCAGGTCCAGTCTCCTCTACAAGAACAATCAAGCGGCAAACGACCTTTTTTCAACAATTCGACTAGCTGCCACCACCACCTCCCGCCAATTTATTCCATTTGCATTCCATTCTCTTCAATCTTCTCGGATGATCCACTCATGAAATATCTACACTTTCTCATATTTTGTACCCTTGTTACAAATGGTAAGTGTTGGGTGCGAAAAGATTGAGATGATAGTAGGGAAAACTTAGTGATGTCATGTTGAGGTTACGATATGTGTCCTTGGCTTGTCAAAAAAAGTATAGTGAAGCGGGGAAAAACACATTTTGTTCTAATTTTTATTAAGGTGAAGATGAAGAAAATGATTATAAAGGATATAAGGAGACAGTTTTCTAAAGAGATACTATGTATAGAAACGCGGAAGTTATTAGAAGAAAAATGCAATAAATTTCAAAGAACTGAAATTTTGAAAATAAATAAAAAATAATTTCAAGAATTACTGTAAAACCTGTAATAAAATGGCCCCGCACTGTCCAAGTTTGAGCTTAGTTATCTCAGCTCCTATGAGAGATATCGAAAACCTGTCAACTAATAAAATGTTTGTGATATTATGATTAACAATTGATCAGTTGACAACTTTTTTATATCTTTCACAGGCATCGAGATAAAATGTTTTAAGGTTGAAAGTAAGGGACCCTTCTATTACAGGTTTTACGATATGAGCAAAGTCATTAAAATAGAATTTTGAAGGAGTTTAAAATTCTTTTGACTCAACCGAAACCTACCGTCACCAACACCACCAAAACCCATCCATCATTATCATTAAGATGCATAAGAGCATATCCCCTCATCAACAACACCCCCCCCTTTCTCCCCATCTATCTCTTATTTTTTGCAGGATTATCGGACAGGGCTTGTAGCAGGAACACTTGTCTCAACGGCGGAACATGCACAGTCAACGACGAGACGCGCATGTTCCAATGCGATTGTCCGCAAGGCTTTAGCGGACTTCTCTGTCAGGATAATTGCGGTTTGCACTGTCTTCATGGCAACTGCCTGAAAGGCACGTTCGGTGAGAAACTTGTCAGTGTTCTGAAGGATGGATGGGTTCCCTCTGCGACATTTTGGTGACCGACGATGATGCTACTGCTCAAAAGTGCTCACCGCAATGTAGCGACGACGAAAGGTATACATGACCTCATCAGAGACAAAACAAACGAGGCAAGAGACTTTTATTATAGGTGCACAAAAGGAGCCGACGGATTGTACTTTTGTCAGAACACGACCGTCAAGAACACCACCACCTTGTTGTCCTCTTGCGCAACACACACTTGTCAAAATAACGGAACATGTCTAGCAGATAACGTGAGTGTTTGATATGGGCATAGAATTCGAAAAAAAAAGACGTTCAGGGTGATGTAAAATGCTCTTGTCTTCCTGGATTTTCTGGCGACAACTGTGAAATTGATGAGGATGAGT